AAAAAAAAAAAAGGTCATCTGGCTGCTTTGGGGGAAAGGAATTTAGGTGGTAAAGACTGGATGTAGAAAGACCAATTCAAAATTAAGAAACATAACAGTAAGCCAGAAAAGAACTGGTGTTGGCTTGGTCCAGGGTAGTAACATTGGAAATTACGGGAAGTGGTTAGATTAGAAGGATAATTTGGAAGTAAAGCTAATAAGACTTGGTGTTCAAGTTAATGTGAAACAGACAATCAAAGATGAATCCTGGGTTTTTGGACTAAGCAACTGGGTGGATGGTGTTGCCATTAATTGAAACAAATAAGACTGGAGGACAAGTTTTGAGGAGTGGAGGTGGGAATCGAGAGTTAAGATTTGGCCTTGTTAATTTTGAAATGACTATAAGACATCCAAGTACAGCTGTAGAATGGACAACTGGATATGTGAATCTGATACTTGTTGGCAAAATCTGAGGGAGGTGCCCCTTTGTACTTCATTACCATACATCATCTCATTTAATCTGCTAACCAACAATGTGGTGACGTGCAAAGAGTAAATATTATGCCTATTTTCCAGGGGCACACTGAACCTCAGAAAGATTGAGTTAACTCTACTAAAGCTGTAGCAACAGACAAATCACTGAGAATAGAAGCCCCTCCTCCAAATCTAGTCCCCTTTGCACCATGCTATACAGAAACTGAGAAACGTATAGAGTGCAACAAGAGAGGGATTGAGAATAATCCAAAATTAGCGTATCAGAAATTTGCTCTTTTGATTACACAGTTATTGATTTAAAGTTTGGGTACCAAAGTCAATTACATCACTATGACTAACATATTCTACCAGCTATCCATCATCCCTTTTCTGAACTTAGAACCAGGCAAGTGTCTATAAAAATTGTGTAAGACTTTGAAATGGACCCAAAAAAAAAAAAACAAAGATAATCGTGTGGCTTGTCTAGTTCACTTTTCAGGCTATCTTCACCTTTTATTGTCTTTGAGCTATTTTATAAAGTTGTAAAAATAGTTGTACAAAACTGATAGTAATGTAAGTAACTCTCTTCCATAGAAATGCAAAGTGTGTTTGGTGGTGATACAACTGATTATTGCTCTGTGGATTTTGACCAGTTTTGCATCTATTTGTAAACTCACTTCAGTGTTTCTGATTGCTTCTGTGTGTGTGTTTTGAATTCTCTTTTGAACTGGTTGGAATCTTTTGAACAATAAGGAATCTTATTGGTTCCTTCTTTAATTAATGAGTTAAATAAAATCTTTGACAGGCATTCATTTCTATTTGTCTAAGGGTCATGATTTTAACCTTTTTAAAAATTATCCTTTAACATAGGTCTACTTTTTAACATTAGAAATTCAGAAATCCTTTTTAAAGAAATATTCCCCCAAATTTTAAAGAATTTGTTCTTGTGAAAAGGAAATACTTACATTTTAGAAACCAATTTTGGAACTTTAGAAATGAGTCAATTTACCAGCAAACAACTAATGAGACTTTCTGATATTGAACGGAGTTTGTAGAAAGATTAAGGCTTCCGTAGCCCAAGATCATGAATGCTATATTCAAACCATTATCCGTGTGGTTTTGAATCTTCTGCAACTGAATGTCAAAACTATTTGCTACCCACGCAACCCTCCACCCTTCACCACAGACACACACATCCTTCTCTGTCAGGGTGAAAATATCAGTCCACTTCAGAACACGTCATCTTTGTATAATTGAGAGTTGCTTGACGATCTCCTTTAGGACCTAACGAACATTTTGTATTCACTCAAAAGCCAACATCTCCTCCCCCTTTGGTATGAGAAACTGGCCACTGAAGAAGGAGTTGAGAGATCTGTAAAAGAAGCCCAACCCTATTGGGAAAAAAAAAAGACAGAGACAGAAATTCAAAATTAAAGACCTATTGGGAAGAACAGTGGTGGCCCTGACCCAAGGTCTCTAAGCAAGATATCAAGGGTCCCAAAGAGGAACTCAGCAGGAAGTCATTGAGAGTCTATTTGATGGCTTGGCTCAATACATGGCCTGAAGGCTTGTTGGCAAAGGCTGGTTCTGGCACAGCTTGTGCTGGTAACTCCTAAGAGCATGGCCACCTAGGCACTGTGGCCTGCTCCAGGGGAACCTGGCTAAGCCTATCTGTGTGAACTAAGAAAAGATCACCCGTGAACTGTCGCCTCAGCCTACGCAGGGCTGGAGAACACAAAGGCATCAGCGTAGAATGGACAAGCATCCACAGGACTGCACAGGACCCATCTTCAACAGTGACACCATGTGGTAGTAAGGGACAATGCAATAGTGGAGACAGCAACTTTCCATTTCTCTCTATGGCTGGCATTTGGAAGCAGAATTGACTGAACCTCTTTGGACTAAGTAACCCCTCCTCCTCAAGTTTACATACATTTTGGAGGATACCCTCATGAGGCAGGTGCATAGGGGCATATTTACATGCAATAAATTAACTAGAAATATGAAAGGGATATTACCACAGTTGTGTCTGAAGTGGTTGAAGCAGGCTATACAAGTCACACTGGTTTTTCTCTAATCAAATTCCATATTATGTTCTAACTGGACCTCAGAACAGATAATCAAAAAATCATAAATGAACAAACAGGAGTTAAATATACTCTTTACAGCTTTTCAGCTGCTCTAAAGCTGAGTTTCTGCCCCTTCCAAAGGATGAGAGTGTGAAAGGGCAGAAATTATTGTCTGTGTTTCAGTTTGCCTCTCTGGTGATACAGGTAAGCTTTGAGCCAGGGGTCCAGCCCCACCAGATCAGAAATTCCTGGTCCTAGGTCTTCAGACTCAGGCTACATGCTGGCAATAAGACCAGGACTCTGTGTGGTTCTGTCAATGACCACAGAACTTGGGGCAAGATGCAAGTTATGGAAAACTGTAGTTGAAGATAGCTTTGCTTTTAATGCTGATAGATCTTCTGAAGATAAATAAGATTAGGCTAAAACAGAGGCTTTTGAGTTCTATAAAGAAAGGTCCTAAATAAGTCCACTTCGAGCCAGCCCTTCAGCTAGGTGAAAGGAGTCTCAAGTCAGAAACCCCAAAATAGATACAAGGGGGCTGCCACTGCAGTTTTCACTTCCACAGGACCTAGAGTTGCACTTCCATACAGACCTTGTGGTTACTGAAAGGGACCCAAGGTGGGACGGCTGTTGGCCCAGGTCCTCCACCAGCTCTGCCCACCTGCAAACATGGTCAGGTTAGCAGAGGAACTTCAAGTACAGACTTCACCCAAAATGAAACTGGCTTAAAGCAAGAAATTCTTATTAACACTATCACCCATATCATACAGACTCAGGGTCCAGCTGAGGAGCCAAGTCCCTTTTATTTTCTTGTGTGTCTTCCGATGGCCTGCTGTCCTCAATCTCTATAGGGCAGAAAGGATGATGTGGAAGTAGGTAATTCACTTCAGCTTCTCATGTCTTCTTTAATTCCACAAAGATCTAGACTTTTAGAGAACTATACAACTCAAAGCTAGATAACATCGTAATAATTGAAACAAGTCAAATGCCATTAGTTAAAAATCTTCCTTGAGGGCCGGCCCCGTGGCTTAGCGGTTAAGTGCGTGCTCTCCGCTGCCGGCGGCCCGGGTTCGGATCCCGGGTGCGCACCGAGGCACCGCTCCTCCGGCCATGCTGAGGCCGCGTCCCACATACAGCAACTGGAAGGATGTGCAGCTATGGCAGACAACTATGTACTGGGGCTTTGGGGGAAA